ACTATATAATTTAAATATTTTTTATAAATTTGTAAATTGATAAAAAAAAATATTTAATTAAAATATAATAAATTTATGAGAAATTCTATTTTCATCTAAGTAAGCATTACCTATCAGCCATAGTGGCATATAAAGATCAGCTGATCATATGACTCGCATTTAACTATAACTAATAAAATTTATTATATGAATAAAAGTGCTAACTAACTAATTTTGTTTACATAACTGCTAAGTACATATTTCATTTTAGTTACAGTCTACTGCTACAGTTTCAGCCAATAAAATTTCAGTATTAAGATATGTATACTATTTAAATAGATTATTATATAGTATGCATATATGTATATATATACATATTCGTAAATTGGAGTTATGATTCAAACTTACTAATTGGTGATTAGCTAAAATCTCAAATAGTATATTATTGTGCTTTGTGAAAAGATGTAGTCTTGGCAGATCACAATATTGTATAAAAATTAGTAATTTTATAAATTTTAAAATTTTACTGATTTCAAAGAAATATAAACATAACTAATTGAAAATATAAAAAAATATAAAGTAATAGACAATTTAAAATCTCAAAATTTTCTGATTATTATCATGAAAATCATGTAACTGCATCTTTTTGCAAAGTGCTATAAGGCATTTTGGTTGTACAGTAATTTGAAATCAGAAATTGAAACATGATTCTTGTCTAATTCATTCGTCAATTAACAATTACATTGTTTATATATATAAAAACATCTACTTTACAATATATTTAGCATATTTGAATATTTGATTGGTTTTGAGTTTAATACTCTTAACTAAAATAAAATATATGCTTTGAATTTAGATTATTTTTCTAAACAAATATGTATATATGTAAGAATTCCAATATTTAACTTAGACTACAATCTATAAGAAGCCATAAACTATTCCTTGATTTTATTCAAGTGCACTATATTACCAAATTAGTTTATATAATATATTAATATTTTAAACTCATCATTTTGTTTTCACTTATTACTATAATAGCAATTAAATAAAATACTTTAGTAATAGTAATAATAAGTCTTGCATATTAACATACATTAAACATCTTTTATATACCTTGGATGGACAACTTCTAGAGTTATGTCCAGTGCTATTACAAATACCACATACGTATACTCTCTTAGAAGTGTATTCTGCACCTATTTTATTGCATTTTGTACTATCTGGTCTTTTCTTTGTCTTGATATTGACTGGATCTTGTATATTGGCTTGTAGTAAAGGATATTTTTCATTTAATTAATCCATAAAATTAGCTAGGCTACTATTGATTTCAACATGACCAACTCTATTGAAAATTGTTTCGATTTCTTTAAGTAAATCAGCAATACTTCTAACTGTTAATTCCTGATTAATCAGTATTTCAAAAGCTGTAGAAGACAAAACATCAATTAAGAGATTATTGTCATTTATATCATCTTGTTCAGGTTGTTCTTTAAGTTGCATTATATTAGTAGTATTATTTAGTTTAATAACTCAATAAAAACCAATATAATTAACACTTAAAGACTTTTTATAAATAATATGAATAGCTATCATATGACAACATGGTAATAAAAATTGTTTGTTATAGTTACAATGACAAACTAATTCTACTTCATTTTGATACACTGTATGTTCATGATCTTTATTAAAAACTCTAATTAGATTTTCATCTTGTTTTTGAATATCATAAGCCTTGGCTTTATTATATTGCTCAAGTAATAATAAGTAAATAAAATCTGATATAGCTGTAGAGACACTTTTTAATATCTCAAAGCATTGTTGGCAGGTACTTTCGAATAAGTGATATTGCTGATATTGTGAATGTTGAAACTGGTAATAAGATAATCTTTCTAATATTGTTATTAATTCAGGCAAAGGTGCTGTATGTTCAAAAAGATGTTTCAAATATGCATTACTTGCTTCTGAGCACTGGGTTGTCCTTATACTATAATTAACAGATTTGTTAATATAGCAATATGCTCACATGTGAGCAATAGATTTCTATTGTTTTATATAATTGCTAAACTCAGAGTACTCAGTTATCAGTTTATTTCAACTAATATTAAATCAATCTTTGGTATTCTCAGTTATCACTATTTTAAAATCTCTACTAAATGTTACAAATTTCTCTTTAAGTTTACTACTTAGATTTCTAACAATGTTTTGTTTTACATGCCAAATACATATTTGGTGCTTGATATATGACATTTCAGCTTAAATCACAAATAATAAAGCAAGATCTTTGTCAGTTAAAATTGTTTGAATTCTATTAACTGTGTTAATAGCTGCTTGCTTTAGTTGTTAAAATATCTAACAAAAAGTTGATGCAGTTTTGTCAGCAAGAAGCCCAGTTGCAATAAGAAATATAATATTCTATAAACTATGATATTATTAAAAATCTGCATAATATAAATAAAAAAAAATATATATATATTACTATAACATCGACACCACTAATAAGAAAGAGCAGGATGGCGATCCTAGTGTAGTGGTTAGGTTGTCATCTTCCAAGTGGCAGGTCTAAGGTTTAAATCCCACCTACGACAAAATTTGGTAATTATATCTGTGTTATGATAAAACTGTCTCTTATCAATCGGTTGGATTTAGGTATCTGTAATCTTGGATACAACCAATCGGGTTCTACTCATCATTGGGAGCCTGGGGCATCTATGCGAAGTGTAATGTTACATGTACATAGAGGAATGTTAATAACCAGTGTCACATAAGACTTCGGTGCAAACCCACGATAAGTTCACCGGATGTAGAAGACCAAGAAACTGAGAAGACGGAAGCCCACTTGAAAATTCCCGAGTAAAGAGTAGCACAAGCCTTCAACAGTGCTATCGGACTGATAGAAGCCTAGGAAACCCCAACAAGGAATAGGCGGACATGCAACCGGATGAAAGATGTGTAGAGGAGCACATGACCAACCAGGCCGCCGGAATCGCCGGAGGAAAAGGATA